CTGGGTGAAGGTCTTTAGCTCTAAAGGACAGAAGTGTTTGCTGGCCCAGGGCACCAGGGCATGGCTCCATGCATCTCACAACCACCTCATCTAACCTTCACAGCAGGTTAGGGTACAAGTTAATTGCCCCAATTCTACAACAGTGCATGGGACTGTAAGGTCTGAAGCTTGTCGCTCCAAACTCTGAAGAGGAAAAGGCCAGGCTCATATAATCCTCCGTCCTGTTCTGCTTTCCTCTCTGATGGCACCTGGAGCCTGGCTCTTGCTTAGAAAGTACGTGGTACATATTCTCCACAAAACATCAAATGCCAGCATATCCTCTTAACATTCAACTCCAGCCAAGTCTTTGTGAACTTCAGGGTTTACAGAGAGCCAGGCATTCTGCACACACAATAGGTTCTCCCGGCCGGCAGAGGCTGTTCACCAGACATGGCAGGCTTAACCTATAGAGTAACAGTTGTTGGCAGGTGGGGCTCACAGTGGCAGGGCTATAAATGGTGTACTTCATAGTGGGTGGCACGGTCAGCAACAGGACAATGATTAGTAAAGAGGGAAATGTCATGTCACTGGCCAGTTCAGCCTCACTGAACTTCAATAGCATCAAGAAGAGGTAACCAAGGTGATGTGACAGGCAAAACGTATGCTAGATGCAGCATATGATGCATAAACTTACTTAAACAAAGGAACTACCTCCAAAATAAAAACACAACTCTACTCTGGATTGTTTTTCATCTGTTCACAAAAGTAAGCGAAGTGTTAGAAATGGGGATGGGTGGAAGCTGGGAGAGCTGTAGGAGAAACCGAGAATAGAGGCAGGCACACATGTGAGTTTACAAGTTCTGTACCGGGGCGAGCAGGCTTTGCTAAATAAATCGCTCTTGCACCCAGCAGAGTGGGAAAGCTCAGGCAGTTGACATGTGTCATCTTTCTGTTTGGAGCCTAGAGAGAGCTGTGGGTAGACAGAAACCGACTGTGTAGGGAGCTGAAGGTGGAGTCACTCGTACAATAGAGAACATTCTAGATCGCTTTTCACAAGAGCAGTGCATGCCCCCCCACTCGCTTCAGAAGCAATAAGGGAAACAGCTAAAAATACAGACTACATGGGCCCCACTCCAGACTCAGGACCAGGGTAGGGCTGGGAACATGTATTTTGTCAGGTGCCGTACAATTCTCAAGCCAGAGAGTTTGAGAACCACGGCTTCAGACACATCTCTGTCTCTTCTCTGCTGTGCCCAAATCAGGACCCTGAAATTGCAATTCTTACTAAGATAAATAAAGAAGCTGTTAAGCTGCTGGGGGAATTCTCAATCTTCATTCCAGGGGCAATGAGCAATTTTGTCAGGGGACTATTTTGGCCAGAGAGCCTCAGTGAGCAGTTGTGATAAATCCACTGTGTCAAGACAGGTGAAGCGCACACTCAGACTAACGTCCCCTTCTTCTTGTAGGCTAAGTTCACCTCAGCATCTCAGTCAGCACCGTCTTCTCGTCACCAGACTCTGATTGCTATAATGACAAGCCTGGCCACCAACCAGTCCCTACCGGGTACTTTTTAATTCCTGGTCTCCTTTGCCTACAAGGCTCCACTGAGGGACTTCACTTTTCATGAGTCCTTCTCTGACCCAGCTTCCTCCACTACTCTGCAAACAGCAGTGCTCACAGTCCAGAGTGATCTTCTGTTTCTAGTGCTCTCTGTTCTGTGGACCCTTCTCTCCCTCTTCTCCCCTCTCCCTCATCTCCCTCCTCATCATGAGCTAGAGTTCCCAGCCCTCCCGCCACCCACAAGTATCTCCATTCAATGTTCCACAGATCCTCACTAGGCCAGTCTCCCATGTACCTTACATGTGACCCTCCGGAAATCCTTTTAGATTATAACACAGGGCATACATATCAACATCCCAAGACCAGCATGCAGGTGGTCATAAAAGGTTGTCCCTAATTCCACCACCCCATCTCTGGGCCTGCTGTTACTGTCAGCTGGACCTTGCAACATTCCATTCTCTCTTCGTACACACTAAGCACAATCTAAACCATCTCACTCACTCTGCAGGAATCTCTCCCATTCTCAAAGACTCAAGGGACTCCCCAGTGACTGCAGTTAGGTCCATAAGCTGAACCTCCTGTCACCTGGCTCTTCCCATTCACTCAAAACCAGTACTGCACCCTGAAAAGTATGGGCCTCAGCTCCAAATACCTATTTTGACCTTGAAATCACCTCTCATAATACTTTTCGCTGTGCAGACATCTACCTATGTATCACTTTCCCTATTAGTCATGGGTTCTGTCTCTTAAGGTATCCCAAAGGCCGCACTTGACTCCTGGTGTGAATGTTTACTAAATGACTACATAAGCCCAAGATGTACCTCTGAAAGAAGAGCCCGGAGAGAGAATGCCAGAGAAAAGTGGCCATGAAAGTCTAGGGAAAAGGCAGTGCCAACCTGGGGAGGATGAGTAGGAAAGTGATAATAACAGCAACAGTTACAACCCCCAGAGTTGGCGATGCCCCATCTTCATCCCCTCCTAAAGTGCTCTCCTAAGAACTGCTCCAATCTGACTCGTTCAACATTCACCCCAAGCCTGTGAGGCAGACACTACTGTGGCTATTGTTCCCACTTAACAGATGAAGAAACTATGGCACAGATAATTTAAACAAATGACTGAGAATGGGAAGGGGCTCAACATGGCCTATGCACAATTAAAATCTCCAGACAGGCAAGCATAGGAGGAGATGCAGGCCCATGAGCCTCCACTGCAGGAAGTACTACCCAGGTGCAGAAGGGTCTAGAGCTGGAAAAGGTTTTCCTTCTGTGTGAGGGGACAGAGATGAGATCAAGGAGAGAGACAAAAAGAAAATGAGAGACCTAGGATCAATCGCTGGTGGTGTCCCTGTATACGGAGGAAAATAAGTCAAAAGCACTGAGGGGAAAGGGGTGAAGACTTTGTCAAGTTAAGACGTGTTGGAGGAGGAAGAGCAGAGGCCACAGCACTCCCAGGGTGATCTCCACAGCAGAGCATTCCTCCCCACATGTGGGGGTGGGGCTTGGCTGTTTGGTCTGTAGGGTCCTCAAATCCATCCTTGGTTCCCACCTCCCCCACCATCCAGCTGGTTACATGCCCCCATCTCCAGGGCAGAGAACGGGGCTAGAGGCATAGCTATCTCAAAGAATCATTTACTTGCCATAAAAATCTACCCATCACTGAGTATCCAACTTGATTTTTTTTTGTAAGTTCCAGTCTTAGAACATTTCATCACTCTGCTGTGGTTGGAAACAAACTGCCACCCCTCCAGCGTCTCCTGCGTCTAGCCACCCCAAGAGCAAGTTCAACACTGACTCCTTGTGATCACCTACCAGGCCTCCATTTCACACAGAGAGAGGCTGAGGGCCTTAGCCAGCCAAGGATGCACTGGCCTGAGAACAGATAGGAATTTGTTTCTAACCAGAGCTGCTTTTGAAGTTCCTCCAGATTAAATGATGGGACAAGAGCCCCAAGGAAGGACAGCAGAAGAGAGAGGCAAACACTTCAAAGAGCTAGAATCAATGGAAGATGCTCCTGCTTTGGGATGATACCTTAGCTCATACTATCTTGACATGGGAAAGATTCCTTTAAGAAACAAGGTCATACCTCCATTGGCTGCATGGACTACGGCAAACACTTTCTGCCTACTGACTCTAGCCATGTCATCATTCAGTACTTGGTGCCTATCTATGGGACCTTGGGAAGCTATCCCCAGTACATGACTCCTGTACTAGCCAAGAGACACAGGAGACCCCAACCCATACACACATATACAGAACATCTTCTCCAGTATAGGTCTGTAGCTAATTGCAAAAACTGAGGAAATTGGAGAGAACTCTAAAATGTGCATCTCATATAGCGGTTCTCAACCTTCTTAATGCTGTGACCCCTTAATACAGTTCCTCATGTTGTGGTGACCCCCAACCAAAAATTATTTAATTGCTATATCATAACTGTAGATTTGCTACTGTTAGGAATCATAATGTAAATGTCTGATATGCAAGATATCTTATATGTGAACCCACAAGTTGAGAGGTTTAATCTCTTTGGAGATGTTGAAGACTCTGAGAGAAAAGGGATCCCCCTTGACAACATCAGCAGCCACAACTGCAGGGAAGAGAATCCCATACATTCTTGTTTCTCCTAAATCCACTTCATGCAAGAGTCCAATCTCATCTAATAGAAGGCACCAGCTACAGGGAAGATGGTGGGTTTGGTGACCAAACATGCTTTGGAAAAATCACATGAAGACTACCAATGTCTTGGCAAGGCTGGGAGAAAGTCGAGATTGCTCTGCAGGCTTTTGCTGGAGCTCTCCAGGCAGCCCCGGCTCTGCCAAGTGCATTCCAGAGCTTGCCTCAGATGCCCAGACCAGCAAAGGCCTTTGCATTTGCAATGACTTCACACTCAGCCAAAAGTAAACACGCTCTCCACTTTTTCCATGGACAAATACTAACCCCAAATTGCCAGCGTTGGCCTCTGCAATCCAAGTGGAAAGCCGCCTTTCCCAAGAAAATAAAGCCATTTTAACTCAATGATACCTCTTGACCGCAAGAAAAAACTTTGCTAAAAGCTTCCTAGAAATTATTTATCATGCAAATATGCAGGATGCTATGATCACACAAGCAAAGTCTAACAATGGAACGGTGGCACTCAAAATACAACTGATGATCAAATAATGCTGGCTTCAACACCTGCACTCAACACTTGAGCAGTACATTTGTAACACACATGAGACCCACTACTCTCATACCCATACATGCCCACAGCTCACCACCACCTGATTGGAATATTCTTTCTACAAGTAGACTCTGATAAGGCAGGCACGGATCGGAATAAAAAGCAAAATGTCCCAAAAAATCTGAGCTGTGTCGAACGTCGGCACCTGTCAAACATACATCTCACTTCTCTCCCACCTTGCACTCAGAATGGTCTAAGTTCGGTTGCTTCACAAGTAGTAAGAAACGCAGAGGCTCCAGACTTACCAGGTTGGAGTTGGTGGCGTTGGAGTCATCTTCTGGAAAGGGAATATAGATCGCTAAGGCCACACAATTGGCAAAAATAGTCAGTAAAATAATTATTTCAAATGGTCTGAGAAAGGAGTTAAGGAAATCAATGCCATTGTTAACACAAGTGAAACAAACATATATCTATGTATTTTTTTAATGAATCAAAGATTCGTAAGAATTCTGTTTAAACAATGCATTCCAAGCCCCTTGTATTCTGAAGAGAAACATATGCCTTTTAAGTGCTTCTAGTGGACCCCAGCCAAAATTTTTTCCTAATATGTCAAGAGCAGTGGAGGCCAGTCGCGTGCCAGAGTAAACACAGATTTCTAAATACTTCTTCCCCTCTTTTATTTATTTAGATTACATTTGATTTCATTTTCTTCATGTGGGCTTAGGGTAAAGTGCCCTTTCTGCCCCAGGAAAGATTCCCCATAGGGCCCCAATTCCATGACAGTTCGTTCATGAACTGTCACCAATGGACCTAAGCACGCATGGTAAGGGAGAGCAGTGGGGTGGGATTTTAAACAAAATGGCCCTTCATGGAAATCTACAGATTTTCCTTTTCAGCTTTTGGAAGCAAAGTTGAAAGTGTTCTACCTCCCTTGGGCTTAGGACTTCCCAAAGCCAGGCAGTCTGTGCACTGTGGGTTCAGAGGTAGGGACTGTCTCCCCTTGCCAGCTTAGCTCCGAATAGGACATGGGGCACACTGGCTTTAGTGTACAAGGCTCAACTAACTGGTCCTGTTACCACAAGTAGTGATGGCCTGGGCTATAGGGCATCAACCCAAGGCCCACTCACTAATAAGAGCATAGTCTGACGTTCTCATGGAAACACCAGGGCAGGACACAGTGAGCAGTAAGCTAATGTGATAATACTCGTCTACTGAGACCACGCCACACCCACCACTGAAAGCAAGAAAGGGAATCTTTACAGGAAGTCTCAATTTGTGTTCCCACAACTAAGCTCCTAGCCTCTTTCACAGAGCCTCTTCTAAGTAGCTTCCTACTGCAATGACAAAACTCTACAACCAAAAACAACTTGGGGAGAAAAGGGTGTATTACAGCTTATAGCTTGTGGTCTATCACGAAGGTAAGTCAGGGCAGGAACTCAAGCCAGGAACCCAGAGGCAGGAACTGAAGCAGAGAACACAAAGGATGCTGATTACTGGCTTGTTCATCATAGCTTGCTCCACCAGCTTTCTTATACAACCTAGGACCACCTGCCCAGGGGTGGCATTGCCCACAGTGAGCTGTGCCCTCCTACATCAATTGTTAATCAGGAAAATGCTCCACAGACTTGCCTACAGGCCAATCTGATGGAAGTATTTTCTTAGTTGTGGTTCCCTTTTCCCAGATGACCTGGGGCTTGTGCCAAGTCAACAAAAAACTAACGGGCACAGACCCTAACGAGAGGAAGGGAATGGATGAAAACTGCAGGGTAGAGGAACCAACTAAACTCTTACAGAAATAACAAACTCTGAACCAAGAAGAGGCCCTAGAGATTACCTGTTCCAAACCTTTCAGGCCCAGAAAAGCTAAGAACTATGTCACAGGTGAGTGGTCATACAGCACTGGAACCAGATTTCCACCGCCATGTCCAGTGCTCTCCTCAAGCATTCAAGCTTGGATTCACAAGCTTGCTAGGCAAGGGCACAGAGTTCTGCACTCAGGGGGGAATCTGAATGACTGCTTTCATGACGGATCCCCAGCAGCTGCATGGCAGAGCTGAGGATGCCTCGTAAGATGTACCTTCATCCACATGTGTCTTGGTATCACAAGATGACCTGTGAGAAGGGCCTGACCAATCTCTCCTTTACAGAAATGACCATCATCACACCTGCCCAAGATCCCCAGAAGGCAAGGAGAAAGGCCAGCCTCAGAGTCCAATCATAGCAATAGGTTCACCCTTTACGATCTGCTACCCTGAGATGGCCAGGATTCAAAAGCAATAGAGTCAGGAGCTAGTGTCAGGGAGGTGACAGCAAGGACAGGATCTAGTATTTCTCCAGAGCCTTCATGTCAAGCTCTGTGATGACTGCCGCACCCCCAGGCGCCAAACACCTGGAAAGAGCCAGCACTCTCTACTGCTAATGGAGGACACTGAAGCTTACAAAGGTTGTGGTGTGCCTGACGTCATCAAGTTAGCAGCTAGAACAGGACCTAGACCCAGAAAGTAGGTTGCTGAGTCAGTTTTGAGACCACTTTGTGCTGATCTGCCTGAGGTGGCCCTGAGGGCATTTCAGAAAGCAGGCTCTCCTAGCCCTCCTGCTTTACCCCCTCTTCCAAACCATGCCCCAGCCTACCCGGGACAGCGACAGCCTAGGTTGCAAGGTTCCATTCTCATTGTCTGGTGCCCTATCAGGAAGGGGCACCGGAAGGTAGCTGAGCCAGGCCCCATGAATATCCACTCATCAGAAGTCCTCACTGCCTCTATAGGTCAGGGAGCCCAGCTTGAAGCGTCTCAAGTGCTGCCCCTACACCCCCTGCTACATGCACACATACACACAAGCAACCTACCCATCCCTACACACTAAAGCTCCAGGCTGACACTGGAGGAATAGACTATATGTCAAGAAGACAAACAGGCAGATGGGGGAGCTGCAGCTGAGATGCAGAGGAGCACCCAGAAAGCCTGATGCACTCATACCACCCTCCAAGAACCATTGTTAAAACTGCCCATCTGATGATAGCACCAGGCCCCAACTTTTCAAGAGCTGTTGAGTACATAAGGCTCCCTCCATATCTGTTCTAGGCAGTCTGGAACTTTCACATAGCTAATATCATGTGCCACATTCTCTCCCTCTCCCCAGGTGGGAAAGCACCTTCTCACAGGAGGGTCAGCTACACTAATCATCCAGTAAGGGCTGCAGACTCAGGTCCCCTGTAAACCTACAGTGGAATGCACTTTCCTGAGTATCAAGTCGATCGCTATCTATTCCCACCCAGTAACTACTTCCATCTAGTAACCATTCTACCTAGTAACTATGTATTCCCACCTAATTACTATCTAGTCCCACCTAGTAATTTACTATCTAGTACCACCAAGCAACTATCTAGTCCGACCTGATAAATCACTATCTGGTCCCACCTAGTAACTATCTAGTATCACTTAGTTACTATCCAGTCTTGCCTAGTCCTTGGCCACACTATTTAGTACTGTAGTACTGGGAGTTTGGGAAGAGTATGCATTTTGAATGTGGAGAATCTGGATTGAAAACAAACTGTGTCACCACCTGCTCTATGAACTAGGGGAAGTTTCTTGAATCTCAGGGTCTCCCTGCTCTCCCTTTCATAGTGGTTATCTACAGGGTCCCGGTTCTCTTGCTCCACGGCTCTGAAGGCAGCCTGATGGGACTGACCAAGTCCAGCTTCTTACCCACTCATGGACTACATGCGGCTTAGCAGACTGGACAATTTGGGAGCAGCCCTTGCTTAGAACTGCATCCTGTTATAGTTACTATTGGAAAAGGAATTCAGATATTCCAAGGAGGGGTTCTGTTTGCCCCACAGAACTTTATTTTTACCTTTGGCCATCTTCTTTTACCTTCCAACCACTACCAAAGGTCTTTAAATCTTTCCCTAGAAACTCACAAATGAAACTGAACACTCCATCCAGCTGGAAAAAAAATTGAGTTAAAAAAATTTTGAATTCGCCGGGTGGTGGTGGCACACGCCTTTAATACCAGCACTCGGGAGGCAGAGGCAGGCGGATCTCTATAAGTTCGAGGCCAGCCTGGTCTACAGAGCAAGATCCAGGAAAGGCGCAAAGCTACACAGAGAAACCCTGTCTCAAAAAACCTAAAAAAAAAAAAAAAAAATTTGAATTCAACTTTTTAAACTCAAATTTGAATCTGAGTTAAAAAAAAAATACCCAGCACTAAGTCTCAGGGTTTTAATAATGTCTATTCCTAGTCATGTGACCTGAAGAGTTTCATGTGGCTTATTCTACCCCTGGTGATAGTCAGGGCTGAGCCTTGAGGTATTTTCCAGTGTAACTTAGTGCTCAGACATTAAGCCTTGTGTCCATGGTGACAGCCCAGCCTTTTAAAGACATATTTTCTAAATGTCCCTCTACTCCTGTCTGTGTGTTCGAAGTAGATACATATTACTATAGATGATGCTTTCAACTTTGGCTATACCATAGCCTTTCCTGGAGCACTCTGCAGAATGTCTGGGGACTAGTGGAACCTGTAGCATCTAGAATTTGATAAACCTTCCCAGGTGCTGCCAATGCATAGCCCAGGCTGAGAATCCCTGCTGCCAAGCCCTAAGCCAAGAGCTAGAGCACCAACCACTATGTTTTCATGCATCACACTAGAAAGAGGTCAGGTTGTGAGCTACCACAACACCATGCTATAGGAAAGAAAGTTATGGAGCAGCATACAACAACTGTGGATAGCTACATAAGCAGGTAGCTCAGATACAAGTTCATATTCCACCTTGATTATACACAAGTTCTCTCTAAGGTTACTTGGGACAGGTCGAGTATAGAAATGATAGAAAAGAGGGTAGATTATTGAATCTACTCTGAAAAGAAAAGTCAAGAGAGGATACAGATATGATATAGATGAAAATGTAGATTATTTAGAAATTCGTCTACAGTCGAGTATCCCTTCTCTCAAATACTTGGGACTGAAAGTGTTTCATACTTAAGATTTGTTTGGATTTTTGGAATCTCCTCAGATTCATAATGAGAAATCTTGGGGATGGAACCCAAGTCTGAACTTGAAATTCATTTATGTTCTATATACACCTTATACATACAGACAATACAAATATTTGTGCCTGCTTTTTGACTGCAACCTGCCACAAGGATCAAACGGACAACTTCCCATTTGTGCTGATACTATAAAAGTTTTAGATTTTAGAAGAACTGAGATTTTGAATTTTTTTGTTTAGGGATGTTTGTAATCCTAGTAAATTCCGGGACCTTGTCCTCTGAGATAGTGACTCATGGAGTCTAGTGGGAAGGTCTAGAATTCTAACTTTCATCACTGAGGCAGTACATACAAGATAGACTTAACATCACCAGCACAGGTCTATGCCTGGTATCCCCAGAGGGCCAGCCAGCCCCTAGGTGCAGGTCCAAGGAACACCTTGGCCAGCCCCCAGCATAAAGGATATTTCCATTCAACGATGCTTATGCATGCCCTCCGGATGGGGTTCTTCAGAGTCAGGCAGAGCAGAGCACGAGGTGGCCGTGTGGCAGTCGTACCACCCTGCTTCTTGGGTTTCCCATACTGCTGCCGCTTCCGCTGTGTGGAACTGACGGTAGAGATGGTTGCGTTGCCAGCACTGCCCATGAGCTTGGCCTGCCGGGCGGCATCAATGGCTGCCTGCCAGGACAGCGCTGCCCCTGGAGTAGGGATGTGCTCGGGGGCGAGCCCTGCCGCTGCATTGGCATTCATGTTGGCATGAGCTGGGCGTGGGCTCCCATAGTTGGAACCTGCGAAGAGAGAAAAGACAAGGGTTACTGTGGTGAGAATAGGCGCACTGGGGACACACTTTGGATTCCAGACACAATTTTTGGAAAAAAAAATCTTTTTTTTTTTTTCAAGCTGTTGCAGGAACTTGGGAGGTGACATACAAGAACACTAATATGTATGCTGAGAAATACAGCCTGGAAATCTATTCTAGGCCTTGCTGACCTAGTTCAACTGGATGACCTTGGACATGTCACTCTCCTCTCTGGTCTCACTGACTTGACTTAGACAGACAAGAGGTGAGATTGCGTTCACAGCACTGAGATGGTGAGAAAGAGTCCAGGGGAAGGTGCGATGAATGCAACATATGGGCCCTAAAGAACTTCTTTATAAATGGTTTTAGATGAAATGGTTACTGAAGGAAGGAGAAGGAGAACATGAGGGTAAGATACAGGAACTAGGAAGAAGGGGAAGTAAAGGAGGAGCAGGTATTCCAGCACAGGAGCTGATGATGCAAATGCACAGTACCCTGAAGAGTGTGAGAGTCTCGGCTCCGACTCAAATTCCAATAGTAGAAATAAACATGTGGTGAGGGGGTTAGGCTAAAGTAAGTTCACATCCAGTGAAGTGATCTGGATACTGAATGCTCCCCTCCAAGACCACACCAATGTGGTCCCAGGGAAGCACTATTGGGAGGTATTGGGACCTTTGTGGTAGGGCCTTCCCAAGCCCCTTTCTCCTACCACTGCGATGATTAAGTTACTTTAGTAACTTAGCTGTTGCTCAGTTAAGATGAGTCAGTTATCTGTCTCATGCAATCAAAAGAGATCAACCAACACGCTTGCACAGTGCGCAACGCACTTGCTGGGTTCCACAGTCTCCCCCATAACAACAGTCACTGGCAATAAATTTCAACTGTAAGCCAAATGATTGACATCAGATTCCACAATGCTGATGGAAGGATTCTGAGACTTTTCTGGGCACAAGAGGAAAGCTTATCATAATAGATTATCGTTGCCTACTGTGGACAGAGGATAAGGAGTGAGAAAGGAACAGATGCTATCTACTTATCACCCACTGGATATCAAGGCAAGCACATCAGGCCTTCTTTGGTACCAGCTGTCATCAGCCACCTGCACAGCTGCTGTCTGATATCGGAGGCATTAGACTTCAGCTTTATTCCACAGATCCTGGTAAAGTATCTCCATTGAACCCACTTCCCTGGCATATTCATCTCACCACACAATCCCTTTACTCTCTTCCCTTCCTCTGCCCAGTGGCTCCAGGCAGCTGCTGTACCCCAGGGGCACAGTACATTTACCAGAATATCAGGCTTGTGGAGAATAGATGCTTCCTAGACTGAGAAGCCCCTCTGTCACATCTTGTCATTTCCTGCCCCGTTCTCAATATATAGATAATGAGTATAAAGTAACAAAGGCCCCATGAAGGCTGGGAACTTGGGTTTTCTTGTTAAGACCACAGAGCAGAAAGCTGAGAGCATGGGTTTGGATTATTTGAGGCAACTGAAGCAGAGCTGCTCTCCTAAGCAGCAACATAACTGTCTTCATTCAACACACAAGAAAACAAAGGAGCGCATGACTCATTAAAGGTCACCACATGAGGCAGTGGAAGATTCTGCCGCACTCAGAACTCTGGTGAACTGCCTCACTATACTCCGCCCTCCTCAGATCTTTCAACACTCCATACACATGCACAAGTGTGTGTGCACACAAGCACAGGGACACAAACACACCTTCTCCTGTACTTTCTGGGCTGAGGAAAAAGTGGTATCTATATTTAATGAACAGCATCTCCAACACTAACACCTGTGGTGGCTTCTCAGACACCTCCCTGGTGACTGAGAGTGGAAAATATCCCTGCTTCTTTTTCTTACACTGGTGTGACCAGTTCCAAAGTGGCCCTGTGCCCCATCTTGGTTTGCAAAACTGGGCTGTAACCTCATTCTCTCCTGCTTTGTTCTGTCTATGGCATGCAATTTTGACTTTGTACACTCTATCTGGCATTGACAAAATTTAGTGGGTGCTATTTTAGCTCCTGGATTTATCTTCCCCTACATCTAAAAGCAGCCATGTTCCCCTACTGCCAGCCTTGAGCACCCCAATTCCCTACTCATGTTCATGCATCACAGTGGCCCCTAAGTTGGTCACCCTCATTGCTTTCCTATCAGTTGCTTCATTTCCCAAACCAAGCAATGCTAGGGCTTTGGGATGACTCTTAAGAAGAAGGTGGAGCCGGGCGGTGGTGGCGCACGCCTTTAATCCCAGCACTCGGGAGGCAGAGCCAGGCGGATCCCTGTGAGTTCGAGGCCAGCCTGGGCTACCAAGTGAGTCCCAGGAAAGGCGCAAAGCTGCACAGAGAAACCCTGTCTTGAAAAACCAAAAAAAAAAAAAAAAAAAAAAAGAAGGTGGAAAGCACTCGTGTAAAAACCAGCAAGAGGTCCTGGGCACCTTGAGCAAGAGGCCGGATCTTCCTGAGAAAGCCAGGGGGCCCACCAATGCCCAAGTCTCTTGGATGGACTCCTGGGCACCCTCACACTCCACAGGGTTCTTTATTTATATTGAGACCCATTTCCAGAACACCAGGATACCTCTGGAACATACATCTGGAGAAAGCACGTGGAGAAAGCAGAGGCCTGAGCGTTCAAGGGGGTTGGGATGTCAACAATAGGACAAGAATACAGCTATCCTAGAACACTGCTATAGCCTTTGAGTGATGAAAGGCACTCCCATCATAAATGGCCACATGCAGGAAAGGAAGAAGTGTATTCTAAAGGTCAGTCTCCATGAGTGCTCTACTTTAAGGTCACTGTGACCTTGGACTCTCCAAGACACTTTCCCATGCAGACCTGAGGTTCTAGGAGTGTCTCAAGGACACTGACAACGAGAAGTACAAGCTATCCAGGAGTCCCAGGAGTGGGGAACTTCCATATAAGTAGCAAGGATTCTGAATTCAGAGTAACACCACGAAGGTAGGGCAGCCCACATTGTTTCTCTGATGGTTTTTGTTAGCACAAAATCACCACCCAATGCAAAGACCAATTTTCAAATTATAAGGCTGATTCAAAGCTTTGCTTCCTGGCTGCCAGCTGAACCAATGCCACCAGCTAAGTCTGATCTGGCTCCAGTCTTACTGGGCTATACCCACTGATACTCTGGTGCCCAAGAAAATCCCAGAATAGCAGCTCAACAGACTAGACCACATGGAAACAGGTAAGAGCTCTACAGCATCAACCTCTTCCAGATATAAGAAAAATTATTACTGTCTAGTGACTGGGCTCCCTTGAAAAGAGCAGCATCCATGCCTACTACATGTAGGTGCTGCCTCTTCTCAGAAGGACAAGGACATAGCAAGACCCCAGCACAGACCCCTTAGCCTCATACCACCCTGCCCTGCAAGGGCCTAGAGAGATGTCCCATTCAGGGAATGGACACATGCTTCCTCACTTCCTCCCAGTCAGAAATATGTCCAGTGGTGAAACAGTGAGCTTTTTTAAAAAAATTCATTCCCCACCCCAGATGCTCAACATCCATTGTTAGTGACTATAACAATAATGATGTCCTGATAAGCAAGAATGTTGTCACGGTTTGTACTGTAAGTATCCCCTAAAGGCTCATATGCTCCATCTTCATTACATGAAGGGGAAAACCTTCAAGAGGTGGAATCTGATGAAAGGGACTTGACTCACTGGGGATATGTCCTTGAGGGAATGTAATAACCCACCCCTTCCTGTTCTTTTCCTTCCCAGCCACCATGAGGTAAAAGGTCTGTGCCAGCCCTTCTTCCTGACCATGATGCAGTGCCTCCCACAGATCTGAAAGCAATGAGCCAATGGGCCGTGGACTGGCTCTTCTACACCTGTGAGTCAAAGTAAGCCGTTCCTCCCTCTTGGCTGTGGCCTCTGGTAGTTTCACAGTGACAGAAAGCTAACTGACATGGAGATAGACCACAGACAAACATGACAGGTTACTTGATGAAGTCTGTCCATCTCCACCTTGAGTGCTGAGTCCTTTCATTTGCTCCATGGATGGGGAGGAGCTCTGAGGAAGGAGAAGTGACTAATGGTCTCTACTTCCTATGCCACCACTCTAGTCCAGGCCATCATCCATTTCCTGCCCAGGAATGCTGCAGGAATCCCTGACATTTCTCTCATTCCAGGCTTCCCCGTCTCTAACCCAAGCCTCACTCATAACTAGTCACAATGACCTCTCGGGAAACACAAATACTAAATCAGGCCTGTCAGGCTCCTGCTTCAATCATTTTCCAACCCAAACTCTCTGTCGTGGTTCTTGAAGCCTGTGCATGCTGGCCCAGGCCAATGTCCCTGAGCTTATTACAGACTGACCTCCTTTCATCCCTCAAACGTGCCCAACTCTTGTCTGCCACAGTGCATTTGCACATACTTAGAATGTTCTTCCCTCTAATCTTGGTTTAGTGGTTCCTTTCCATACTCCAGACCTGGCTTGAAACAATTCTGCCATAAAAGCTCTAATCCAAGGAAGCAAAACCCAAGCAGTAGCTTTCAGCATTCCTGCCCCTCCCTCCTCCATGCCACCCTTGAGTAAAGATGCCCAAGATCCCTGGGCAACAAGAAGGGATCCTCAATGAGCCACCAACATGGAAACGATATGAGCTTCAACAGCATAGTCTCCTTCAGTGGTCATGTGCCTTCTGCCCAAAATAGAGCTGGTGACTCCTGAAGAACACCTTAGTGACTTCTAGATCAGAAGGCAGTTCACCCAGGAAGGAAAAGGCTGCAAGCTGATGTCCTACTGGAGTCTTGGTCACTCAAGAGTCTCTGAGGACACAGCAAAGGCCTTCTTTTTGTGTCAGAAGTCACCCAAGACCTTTGCAGCCATCCATCCAAATTTTACATACGTCAGTCCCCCATGGTGACAAGGGCCCCATATTCTCCTAAAAGCACAGTAGCCATCCTTAAACGGGAACTGCACTGGCTTGAACCAGTGTAAACCTGGTGACTAGAAAGCGAGAGGACCCAGTCTCCTGATCTTGGCTCAGTCAAGATTCTGTCCATCGCCAGTTCAGAGGGGCTTATCCACGGATGAATCCAGTGTGCCTTCAGGGTCACCCTGTGGCATGGAGTGAAGCAGAGGCTATTTTGGCTGCTCTTCCAACCTTTTTCTACTGCCTTCCTGGAGTACAGAGGCCAAGGGCTGTGACAAGGCTTGGTCTCCCTGAAGCCAGAATTCCTAATGTGGCTTGGAGACTGAACAACCAAGACCCAAAGGGAAAGCAGAGCTGGTGAGGAGGGATCTGCTCACCGGTACAGAGCGCCGGGGTCCTGCCAACAGCCTCCTAACCTCGCGGGGCACAGGGGCTGAGACTTCCCAGCTTCCTAATCAAATGCAGTTCCCTTGACCTGCTCCAGTGCTGCTTGGGTATCACTCCTACGAGTCCATTCTAAGGCTGTCTCCCCTCTCCCACAAACAGCCTTTCCGGGCTCATTCCAAATCCTTCAATTCCTGTATCAAGTACTTCCTAAAATGGCCACAACAGCTCGAGACATGTCATCTTACAGCAACATGCTATGCAGTACAGCTTTGTTGCTGTTGTTTGGGTTTGGGGTTTTTGTTTTCTGTTTTCTGAGGCAGAGTCTCACTCTATGGCCCTGGCTGGAACTCACTGTATAGCCCAAACTAAAGGCAATTCTCCAGTCCCAGCCACTCAAATGCTGGGATTACAGGCATGAGCCACCATTCCCAGGTCTAATTATAACATTTAAAGTAGTAAAAATGGAATGTCATTTTGAACTATCCAATATGGTGGCTACCAGTCAAATGTGTCTGTGGAGCGCATGAAATGTCTCTGGTACAACTGAGGAAGTACATTTTAAGTTCCATTTTGTGGTGGTATTTTACTTGTACTGAAATGTGATTTTAATTGTATGTTAATAAAGTTGCCTGGGGGTCAGAGCTATTAGAGCCATAGCAAGCGCGTGGTGGCGGTGGCGCATGCCTTTAAGGACCTGGAGGGTGGTACATACAGGCAGTGACGAGGCAGTCACATGTTTGGGTTTACAACCAATGAGAAGGCAGAACAGCTAGAGTATATAAAGACATACACACAGGAAGTAGGCCTCTTTTCGGAGAGCTCTCTTGGCTGAAGAGGATCGCTGAATCAGGAAGGGTGAGGCTCTTAGCTCTGACCTCTTGGCTTTCTTCTCTGAATCGGCTCTGTGTTTCTTATTTAATAAGACGGTTGGTTACATCTACATTTGGCCCCAAATTTCATTTCAGTTAATTTCCAGCTGACACAAGTCTGGAGACGACCACGTTGGACAGTACTCCTGGGCACTCAGAGAAGGGCACACTGAAGACTGAGGTGTGAAGTAGGAAAGAGAGATAAGAAAGCACTTGGTTCTAAGAGGAAGAAGGGAGCAACCAATAAGGGGTCTGGATGTGATAGATGGGTAGCTCTTCCGATCTTAACATAACCACTGCCTGCAAAAAAAAAAAAAAAAAAAAAAAAAAAAAAAAAAAAAAAAAAACTACCAAAGCATCAGGATTCTCAGCTCCAACAGACAACAAAGCCATGACTATCTTTACCTGTCTGACACTCAGAAAATGAGTGTGGAACAATTTTCTTCAATGGGAAGATAGAAACCTGACACTGCCCCTCAAGCTGGGAGGAGAAATTGAAATGAAAACTCCCCTTGAGTGTATCAGCCTTGGAGCTGTGCACCCCAACTGCCTGAACACAATATAGCAGCATCCCAACTCTTCCTCATTTTTCCAGAAGAGATGAGATACAGAGGACAGTCCCGTGCCCACAGCCATCACATCTGCTCCATAATGAAGGGACAGCAAGGAACAAGGACATCTGCAGCATCTCCCCAACTCAGCAGATCAGTGCTGCCATAAATAAAGCACCTTCCTCTGCTGACCCACCAGAGGCAGGAGGGAAGGCCAGTGGAGAAGCTGAGCATTCCCAAAGCCACACCAACCAGAAGGTGGCCATGCCAACAGCAACCACACCTTCTCTATACCCCTTGCCACATAGCAAGCCAAGAAGATGACAAAGGAGAAGGAACCCCGAAAAGGAGTCCATGGAGGAAAGCCTGATCAAGGTTAACCTTTCCCCCTAGACACTAATCACAATGCCACTTCATCCTTGGTATCAGCAGGCATGAAGGGGGAAACTCACAGATGCAGCTAAATCTCAGGCTTCAATCACTCAGAGCAAACCACAATAGCAGCAAAACACTCCTCTATGTCTTCCATGGCACAGAGGAGAGAGAGCCCTCCATTTCACCACCACCTAGTGACAACACACCTAACTTCATTGAGTTCAGTGAGTCTACTGAAAGTCAACGGGAAGTCGTTGGGGTAGCTAGTGTCCAGGGACAGTGTCAAAACCCTGGCAGAATGGCTGAAAGTTCAACCCCTTATAACTTTCACGTTTTAATACATTTTCCAAATTCTGTACTTTAAATGATTCTTTGGTAAAGGAGGACAGGTCTGATTTTGTTTTATAGACTACAGATTCCACCAGAATTACCACAGCCAAACCAGTGCCAGACTCCTGTCCCACTGTCAAAAGCCCCCTCTAGAAGGGCACAGTTCCACCTAGCAAACACCTACCTGCTGTCACAGAGAGGAGCAGGGAGTTCCATACATCCTCTACATGAACTCTTAGTGACTTTGTGCCACCCGCAGCCAAGGCTGTAGACACACAGCCCGGTGTTTCCAGCAGTGACTCTCCAGAACAGAACGATGCGGGCTGAAGGTGACCAAGGTTGAAAGGTTGCTGAAAAGAGGCCAGACCTTTTCCTTTCTCTTTCTATGTGGTTCAGAGACGTTTTTGCTCCCACTGATGCATTTCCATGAAAAAAATATCAGGATGGCACATTAGAGGTGAAACATGTTCCTATATCTGTCAGAACACCTAGTTGAACCAGGTCTCAAATGGACTGTCTATCCAACCACAAGATTTAGAAGAAGTCCAAGCAGAACCAGATGTCAGAAAGGGTGTGTGTCTTTCTACGAGTTGCACAGCTATGTGGTCTCACACTACTGTGAAAAAATTTCCTGAAGATTAAAACATTCTATCCTGCAGAAAGTCCCTTAAGCAGAAGGGTAAACAACTCAGAATAGCTTCAGGAAGTCCCTGAAACTGACCAGATTTACCAGGCCCCTCCTTGCCAGAGTAAGCAATAAAAGCTTAGCATGCCCCTCTAAGGAAGTAAGCTGAGCTGCAAAGAAGACTCTATAAAGAGAAAAACTGTAAAGACTCTGAGACCAGACTGGTTGCCTGGAAGAAGCAGAAAGCAGACGAGCTGCCCAAAAAGCTTTAGACCCAAGGCATCAGGAAAGGATACTCGCTGCCTCCAGGCTATGCACTGTGCTCTAGGTTCCAAGCTTTGTCAGTTGTCACCCATGCTGGGGTAAACTTTGGTGATGCAGCTGTCTTTGAGTCATTTCTGCTCCTGTGAGAAACCCCTCACCCATACGCCTGTGAGTAACCCCCCAAAAAACGCACTGGTTCACCAAATGGGACATTTGTGGTATACTTACTTTGGCCTGTTGTGGGTTCCAGTTCCCTATCTGGGGTGAGTAGACGTGTGTGTTACATCTCTCCAGGGAAAGTTTTGTCACATAACATGCATCCAGGCCCCTGATTCTATAAAGTACCAAGTAAATAGATATTTCTCTGGGTCTCAGTCAACTGCTCTGAAAAATAGAATTAATAATGCATTCCTTGCAGGACAACCAAGACTACTAAATGAGATTATGCATCTGAAAATTCTACCCAAAGAACAGTAGCTATTAATAAGAACTGTTCCAGATACCCACACAGAGAGCCTCAGGACACAAAGGAAGACTACCTTCTTTCAATGAAGAGAAACATGAACAGTGTTGTATCATTTTTAAATATTTTCCCTACACACATCTTTTGGTTTAAGCACCATCTCCTTAAAATCGTTGCATTCCACACACACAGATCAAGTGTCAGTTTGTGAGGGGAAACTACAAGTACAGAGAGATCCAGAGGTCCCACAAAATGATGCTCCCTTTCCAAGGAGTCCATTGAGGAAAGGCTCACTATTGGGGTTGCATGGCAGAGAGGAGGGGCACTGACCCTCACATTCACACACTGGAAAACAATATATGCACAGAAACAGAGTCACACGGGCCTGCTTGTCTTATTCCTGGATGTCTCTCATCCTCACTAAGGTGGAAGAAGGAAACATCAATCCCTTGTTGCCTCATATTCACTGTACATTTAATAATGATGCTACGTGCAAAGTATAACACTCCCTTCATTTACAATGGTTACACTCATTTGTCTTGTTAACCTCTAAAACCCCTGCCAACAGGCAGACAACAAGGTGGAAGGCAACAGTAATAAGCCCACAGGTAAAAAAAAAAAAAGCTCCATACCAATACAGAACTGTCTAGCTCTAGACATTCCCCATGTTTGGTAGGGAAGACTAAGATAAAAGCTCAGGGCTCTGAACCCTACTTCCAGCTCCTTCCCTTCTGCTCTGTGCTCACTCCTGAAGTCCTCTGTCTCAGCACTTAGGCTCCAGAGCTCTCTGGGCCAGGCATCATATGGCTCTCACCTTCTTGACAACTAGCCTGACCCTACCAAGGCCTCTCCTGCCCATTACTTGGGCTAAGTGTCCCAGCATCCCATTTCTCAAACAACAGTTGGACTCTTTCCAATGGAAAAGCAGTGCCCAGCTACTCTACTCACTGCCTCCTGTTAGCCTAGGCATAGGAATTCACAACCTCCTGAAAGCCTATGCATAAGAGTCAAATGCAACTCATGGGCATTCATCTGGGAAGGGTAGCAAGGAAGACTGCTGGGAGCCATCCCCGGCAGTGGACAGGTCCCAGCAGAGGATGTAAAGAGTTGGCGGGGAAGGATGAGCCATCCTGGGCTCATCACAATTGACATGCAAGTCCATAAAGCCAGAGAGGCACTGTACCACAACTAGTATGTCTATGATCAATAAAAAGTATCAGGTATTAATAAAAATACAGAAAAGCAGAACTACCACACATTCTTGTTGGCAGTATGGAATGGTGCAAGCCACTGGAAAGCAGGATAGAAGCTCCTCAAAAAATTAAATATTCAATTATTATATGACCCAGCAATTTGACTAGTGGGCATACATTCAAAATTATTAGAAAGTAAACATTCCAACAGGCAATGAGTTATCAAAATGTGCTCTACACTGGAATATTGATCATCCCTGGATAGGATATTCTGACACATGCTTCAAGATGAAGGGAAATATTATGATACGTGAAATAAGCCAGATATAACAGGATTCCATCCCTAAGCATTATACACATTCCATCAGAGAAGGAGGGAGTAGGAATGGTCACTGGGCATTCACTTGTGCATCTAGCCACTCAGTCTAACCAGTTGAATGAGATTCTGCCCTGATTGCTCATAGGATTTTAGAGAGGGGCTAGAGTAACTAGGCTAAGGAAGACAAGCATGAGGACATCCATCTGTGCAGCTGCAGGAAAGCCATCATCCATGTGAGGATGTACTGGCCAGTTTACTGTTTTGAGGTCACCTGAGCTCCTGTCGTAGCCCTCGCCAATGCTCTGTAAGTAAGCCCAAAAAACTCTGATAACTCAATAAGAAGGTAGAAGCTTGCACTCTAAGATGCCCAAGCCATCCTTCTGGCAGGAATAACAAGGGAATTTGCACCAATACTGAAGTGAGCCCAGGATCTGCCCTCCACAAGTGCTTCCTGGGAGCTTTCAGCAGTGACACGGGGCCAGGGAAGGATGCAAAGAATCTTGGTTATAAATTACTTTCAAATATCCAATAAATCATACATGCAGAGGCACAAACATGCCTTCACAAGTGAGTCAAACCAGACTCCTGTCTAAATACATCTCAAGCGCCATTAAACACCAGACGTCAGAGCCTCGGCTGGGTACCTTCCCAGCTTCAGTCTTGCCCAACACCACCTGTGGGGTAGACCACAGCACGGGCACTATGCCCCTCTGGCACCTCTCCCAGAGCTGGCCCACATAGAGTACAAAAAGAGGCTGAAAGGAAAAGTATCGGCCCAGGACCCCCAAGACCAAGTTCTCAACACAAAGGAGATTTATTTGCCCCAGAAAGACAGAAGGCCAGGAACAAGAGACAAACACAGGAGATAGAGGACGAGGGAGAAGGGGAAAGGAACAAGGGATAGGGGACAGGGATGTCTGTCCTGGAGGGGAACAAAGGACTGCCTCTGGACAGAGGAAAGACAGACGTGGCACATGGGAAAATGGTGGTTTATAAAAGAACAAGGGGAAAGTATGTTAGGTTGAGGTGTTTAATTTTAATTGGGCATGTTAATTAGGTGGGCCAAAAGGGGCTTTTGATTACTGGACTTCAATACTTTGACAGCTGGACCTTGGTAGTCAGCCTCAAGAGGAGGAAGTGGCCAGATAAGGGACTAGACCTTGAAGGCTAGCTTTAGGAATATAACCTGATGGTTTTTAGCAAGGGAGATGGTATGGAGAGAAGGACAAGACCTGTCAGAGCCATGCTCACCACACTCAAGCTGGCCAGAGTCCCTTCAATGGTGGTGGATGAAGGAATGCTTTTTCAGTTCTACATCCTGACAACTGCAAGTCTGGAGACTGTAAGCATCATTCCTGTTACTGACAGCACGCTGAGGCAGAGAGATGCCCTGTCCAGTGAGACCCAGGCTAGGGCTGGCTTATCTGCCACCAACCCTCCAACTTCTTTGGCACCTTAAGCCCACACTGGCGATCCCATGTACTCAGGAAATTCCTGAATGTTCTCTCTACATGCATCTCTCCCATCCTCCCTGTGCTCTGAGCTGTCCTCTGACTTCTGCTCAAATGTTTCTGACATTTTCTGAACCCAGGCATATTGGGGGTCCCTTTCCTTCAACATCTTTTTTCTTTTAGGACAGAGGAACATTTGATGTGCCTTCATCTTTGGGTGTGGCCAAGGCTTGGGGCAATGGATACCACCTAGTAGAGTGTCCTTGGAGAAATCACAAAGCAAAAACAAGGCCTGTAACGTCTGCCAGGCTCTCTAACTTGTGACTCTGCCCCCTTGTTTGTGTTCCTCTCCTTTGTGTCCTCGTGATAATCAGGGGGGTTATAACCTGTAAGGCAAAGTGTATCTGGTCTTGCTCTAGGAAGATGACAAAGAGTGGAGACTAAGGTATAGCATGTGGAAATACTTGAGCTTAGGGGGATTGTCCAGCAAATGATAACAGCAACTACCACCCCAAAGGAAAAGGAGCATGAGTAGTGGTGAGAGGCACAGCTGGTGATCATGCAAGCCCCCAGGGCCTGCTCTGAACTGCCAGTTGTTAGCCCCAAGACCTCAGCATGCTGCTCAAGCATTTCAAGACACCACGAGCACTTCGCCTGGTGCAGCATCTTCCAAGGTCACTGTGGCACTGCTGGCATTGTTCGGTGACGATAAAGGCTTCTGGGGCTCAGGGCTACAGAAATAAAGGAAGATTCAAGGAAGGAGCCTAGGAAGGCTCAAGACATGGACTTATCCAATGCCTGCAACTCATACCCATATTTCCACTGAGGTGCACATGATTCCAGCCATCTCCGCTTCCTGGAGAGCATTCTCTCTTAAGTTCATGTTTTAGCATAGCTGGATACCTGGATCTCATCTTCTCTCTCCTAGTAAGTCCCTTGAACAAGTACATAATAAGACTTGAACAAAGTCACATCCTCCCTGCATGCAGTTACTCAGCAGCAAATATAAGTTCACCAAATGATCTCTAAGGTCCTGCACGCTTTCCTGATACTCACAGATTCTAGAATTCTTATGTGGGTGGCAGAGGAATTTATTGTTTGGAACATGCTGTCAAAAGGACTCAGCTTCCCAGATGGATCCGGAGGCCCCTCCACACCCACACCCACCCCTGAAGTCCCTCCTTGAATGATGACATAAACTTGACTGCAAAGTCTCTGCTATGTCAGGCAGACACTTCCCAGGGTGTTCCCCAATCTCTAAGGCAGGATTCTGAGAGTGGAGAGCAACATCTACACCCCTACCCACCCAGCTTTAAATGGCACCGGGACTGATTCACCTGCCCTCCCTGGTGACTTCCCTCAGGAGCAGGAAGAAGTGGAATACAGACCACCCACTCCACACACAGTAGGTGGCTGAAGGAACCCCCATGAAGTCCCCATTCGTGAAGCACAGAGGACTCAACACAGCTTTGGTTCCTGGGGTTCCTGCTGCAGACTCTGCACCCTAAGCATCACGACAAAAATTTAGGGTGCTCCATGAAACTATACATGGGACTCACATTCACGATGGTAAGTGTTTAGCCCAACTGGGATTATGAAACTCAACCCACAGATTCAAGGTGGTGACCACACAGCTGGGGAAAGGGATCCCCGCTGGGAAGAGTGTGCAGCTCCTTTACACTCAAGAAAGGGGCCCATGAGGCAAGGCCCTTCCATGACCACAGACTCGCTCTTGAGTATGTGTCTTCATAGGCAGTTGCGCACACATAGACATGTCACCAATGAAGGATGTGGAGGCATAGAGCATTGCCACTCTAGTCTGTGTAGTCCATGGCCTTTGCCATATTTTGTGCGTATCTACCTAGTACATCTGCAGCCTCCCACCCCTACTCAGGTACAACCTACAGCAGAACCCGGTCCCCTCCCAGTTTGTAGCTTCACAGTATAAAGTATAGGGTAAGGGACCCAGAAATGCATGTGTGACTGTCAGGGTCCCCTCACAGCAGGAACTATGGATGATGCAGTTATATAAAACAGTCTCTGCTCAGGGAATCACAACCTACTGGAAAAGACTGACCACAGCTACACAGTCACCTATAGTCTCTCTCTCTCTCTCTCTCTCTCTCTCTCTCTCTCTCTCTCTCTCTCTCACACACACACACACACACACACACACACACACACACACACACACACACACACGGGTGATTGCCCATCCAGGGACATTTCTCTTTCAATCTGTGACTTAATTTGGACAGGAAGCCAAAGCAGCTAAGGCCAGATTAGCCTGAAGTTTAGCTACAGGCAGCTGGAATTTCTGAAATGCGGCTGACCTGAGTTTGAGGCCATCCCCTCTCCAGACTATGGCTTGGTGTGTGAGTGACAGTTTCTCACCCCCTTCATCCAAGGCTCCCGTAGCCCATATCCAGAAGCCCTGACTCGGATAGGGGAATAACTCAGGAAATGCAGGTGACATTAGTAGAAAGGTGTGTATGGGAATTGGGCATTTACATGGACTCAACTCAGTACGAGTCTCAACTCTCTACTTTACAACTGCAGGATATTCCCTAAATTAACTTACCCTCTTAGACCCTGAGCGTTCTTATCAGTAAAAGGGAACATCTTAATATAATAAGGATCAAATATGGAGCACTGCATTAGTGCTCATGCCTGCTTATTGAAGGATAATTATTCCACAGCAGCACTGTCCCAAGCTGACAATGGTAAATTTGCAGTCATGCCCTCCTTCCCAGACACTACAGGATGCCAGTTGTCCTGCAGCCACTCCTCACAGCCCCTGCACAGCAG